AGGACAGGTATATACACATTGAAAATTGTCAGAAAGTTTGCAAGTTTTGAAAATATCTAAAGAAAAGCCTTTAATTTTAAATACTTCAATTTCCATAGAAAACCTAACTCTATGTATAATATTTAATTCATATTTAATTTTTAAATAATATACTGCATTTGGACAAAATAGACTGTTATGGCAAAAATTTCTTGTCATAATTGTTTCCAAAGACTATATAATGGGAATTTATAGGAAATTTTCCCAAAATTTGTTAATATCTGTTATATAAGAATTACTGGTCCATTGGTTTCTCACATTTTTAAACAGAAATTAATAAAAATTCAAATTGATTTGAGTTTAATTGGAATGAGTGGAGAAATGGAGTGAAATTTAAAGATTAAATGGTGAGCTCATAATCGCGTTTAGCAACATTAAGTATATTAGAATTTTTTGTATTAATTCATCTATGTTTTAAAATGTTTAAGAATGTATACAGAAAGGCAAGAACCGTAGTATCTGATTGTGGCGCCATTTATTAGCCCTACCCGTAGTAGTGGTTAGTGTTTTCTGCAAATACACTACAGAATGAATGAATGTATTGCAGAAAACACTAACCACTAGGGGTAGGGCTAATAAATGGCGCCACAATCAAGCACTACGATTGTTGCCTTGTATTACGGAAACCTAATTAACACAAATTAGGCTTTTCTTTAGATATTTTCAAACTTGGAACTTTCTCATCATTATGTCATTGATATTATTATTATTAATGTTATCTACTATCAGATACCATATTCATTAAATTAATTATATTGTAGATTAGTAACATATTTTAACTATAAACATGCAGTATAATACTATGTCGCTAAATAAGGTAAATTATTATAACAATTATCAACTATTAAGGTCAACTAAGATTTTGTAAGATATTGTAATTTTTAAATTATTAATTAGTAAATTTGTATATTGTATACAAAATTTAGTATTTTGCAAACAATATTAAATCGATTGCAAAGTATGTTATGTTAACTGTAATATTGTACAGTATGGGGTAGTTTTATTAAAAGTATGAAATGTTGTTTCAAACATAAAATAACTGAATTAATTAATATTTTGATACTTTTTATATGGTTTAGTTAGAAATCAATTGATTATTTTATTTCATTTTTAGATAACAAATGAAAAACTTTTGTTTAATTGATTTAAATTATAAATAATTTAAATTTATTATAATTTTTTGTTTGTGAAATACATTACACATCGCATAACGTTATCACATATTTGGATGAAATGCAATTCAATTCAAATAACTAATAAATTTCAAACAAAATCTCAACAAAAAGAAAGTCAAAACAAAAACTTAAAAGGAATGTATAAGATGTGAGATGGCCATTTTTTAATTATCTTGCCATGGTTAGATCCAGTAGGGCTGTCTGATAAATATCAAGTAGTAAAATTAGGCCAACGGCTAAAAACGGGAAAGTTATGGCAATTTTTGTAAAAATTTACATACGGTGTATAGCATAGAGAAATAGATTTTCTCAAGTGCATGACTGAGTATTGGTTAGTAATCACCAAAATCTATTGCTATACACCGTATGTAAATTTTTACAAAAATTGCCATAACTTTCCCGTTTTTAGCCGTTGGCCTAATTTTACAACTTGATACCTATCAGACAGCCCTACTGGATCTAACCATGGCAAGATAATTTAAAAAGGACTATGTCACATATTATATTTCCCGTTTTAAACAAAAAGACAATCAAAACAATTGAACAAAAAACTAAAATATAAGAATTGAGAAAATAAACAGAAAAATATATAATTAATCATAATTTGTAATAATATTTATAAATAAGAAAATTGTTTATTATATTGTTTTTTCGTTATGTCAGTAAAAATAGTGTATTTTGAAGGCATCAAAGGTATTGATATATAGAGAAAAAAGAAGTCACAAAAATTTGTTATTAATATTAAACTCTTGGTAAATGTTTTATACAATTTTATTTAACATTTATTATAAAACAGTCCTCAAACTCGTTAGAATAGCCTTTCAAGTCATTCATCAAAACGCTTATTATTATTATTATTCAAATGATGGGCTGTTGTCTTCATTTTGGATTTAAATCTAACCAATGATTTTCAAACCAAATCTGTTATACAATTCCTGCAAACTATGTATGAATTTATCTACATTTTCAGATAAATTATAATTAAATCTGTTATAATTAATCTTTATATATATCGAATAAGATATTGAATAGAAATAATTACCTTAATATTTGTCCATATTTGTCAAACTATTAATTTATAATGAATTTCAGTCAAAATACAACTCCCATCCTCTTGAGTGCCAGAATTGCATTAACGGCTTTCTATATAATTAAATCAATACATTATTAATTTAATTGTACAAAAATATAATCGATAAATAATTTGCACAAATTATATCTTAAGTATATATTCTGCAATATTAATATCTCTGTATAACTTATACAAGTATTATAAAATGTTTTTCAAAACAAACTGAAACCCAATCCCAACCAAACACAGATTCAAAGAATGACATTCAAAGATATTGTCACTATTTATAGCTTAAAATGTGATTAATATTTTATTTATTCCTATATTATGTGTAATCTATTAATACATTTGATTATCCAATCGATTGTAATTCATATGATTTTGATGTGCACTAAACTTTATGCCAACAATTTAAATATCTGACACCTTATCTTCAAAGTTATAATAATATTCTGTATATCAAAGAATTTAACAGATATTTGAGTTAAATATAAAAATACACAATTGAATGAACAATTGGTCTTTATTATTAAACGGTATACAAAAATGTGTGAATAAAAGCAATGGACAAATGGTGTGTCCCATACCTGCCATCGCCGGCGTATAACAAATTTCTTGAGTCTCTTCTTGTCGAGTGACTGTTCGTTCTGTCGTTTCTTCTTTCCTTTCTATCATTTTGTTGTCATTTAAATACAAAATTAGTTTAAAGTTTTCAATCATAATAAATAATTAGATGTAAACTAAAGATAACTCATGTCTCAAAACATTATTTGTTTATCATTTAAGAAAATAAAATGTAAATTTCTATCACTAATTAGTATGAGATATGAGTTTCTCTTTTTTTGTCTCTCCATTAAATTCAGTTCATTTCACTCACAATCGATGCGATTAATTGAAGATAAAATTTAACGATTTGTAAGTTAATAAATGGTGTTTTAAACACTCGACTAAACTAAACATGATTTAAATTAAATACAAATTCAAATATAAACTTATGCTCAAAATTCTCATTCAAAAGTATCGGGAAATCTTATGGGTCGGGCAAATCAAACACTAGATTCACTGTTATTTCTAATAAACAGCATGTTTTTAATGTCTACTATGAGTTGCAAACAAAAATATTTTGTTTTACGACAATTCGTAGCCAAAGGATTGAAAACATCCACAAAAAAGTCTACAATTATTTCCAAGATTCCAACGGTTGGGCCACTATTTTGTTGGGGATTCACAGCAAAACACAACTGCAAATCGTATGTTGCAGTCTAACAAACCTCAAAAAGTGTGCCCTCATCTAAACCTGGAACTGGTGGGGGCGTCGGCGTCACACTCACCCGCAACCACTGGTGGTTCAGACACTGTCTGGCATTCATGCGTTGGCTAATCATTTCCATTCAAAAATCATTGCATTAGTATTTAATGTCAAATATATTACAACTTAGTATTCAAACACATACTCCCTGTCCATAACGAGTAGATGAGAGATAAAGTCTTTCGCCTCTTCGGAGATGATATCGAAGCTGTCGTCGTCGAAATCAAACTCAGCTCTCGTCACGTTTACCATTGTTTCCAAATCGCTGTCTCCCATGAATGGCGATAAACCGGAAAGACTAGACATACAGCCATACAAAATAGTTTGTGATCATTCATATGGCCATCACTTGTCAATTGGATACATACAGAACATAACAGATGACACCAACGGCCCACCTATTCGTACAATTAATGGCAGCAAATATTTAATAACTAATTAAATGCATTAATTTGTTTTGTATGCATACATATCGGTAGTGAATCCAACTTCTTCAAAGTTGACCACTTCGGGCGCCACGAACTCCGGAGTACCGAAAAGTATTTGTAATTTGTCACTCTTATTGTAACGACGGGCTAATCCAAAGTCGATTAACTTAATCCGATTTCCAGTTCTGGTCACACATAACACGTTTTCGGGCTTTAAATTAAAATATGTTTTTATTTCTAATAAAATTCAATGCAAAAAAATATGAATAACATAACTAAATAAAAAATTGTAATTAATGTCAACTTTTAAAATGATTTATTACTTTCATTTAATTTGTTTCATTTGATTATTAATTTTGTTATGCCTTTCATTGTTAACCGAGTTTTTTGGCAAAAATGTATGTTTTTATAGCACAGAAAATACTTCGCAAACAGTTATCTTCAAATGAGATCCTAAAAAAACTTGAATGTAATTTGTGTTGAATTATATATTAAAAGCACTTTTTCTATTTGATCTTTATTTAGAGATAATTAAGAAGTTTTAAGAGATATTATTTTCATTAAAGCTATTAAAGCAGACAAAAGCCAAATGCAGTTTTGGCTCTCAATGTATGCAAAGAACAATTTGTTTCGAAAGGTATAGTAAACCAGGCGTTCATTTATTAGCCCATGTTTTTGCTCAATGAATGAACATTTTTATATTTATAACGTTATTATCATTTAATTATTATACCATTTATTATAGTTGTAAACATGAGTTTTGTTATATATTTATCATAACATTAAGCTTTAGTAAAGACAATATTATTGATATTATGATTTGGGATTTTGATTAAGTCTATCGCGAAATAATTGAAAAATAATATTTATTTTAAAAATATGTTTCATTCAAAACGGCGCTCAAAAATTTATGAGTGGATGAAAAATAGCATCTCATTGAGCTCTCTCTCTCTCTCTCTCTCTCTCTCTCTCTCTCGAAACATCTATTTTTATTTTTCATATTATTTATGTATTTTATATTTCTGTTCAATGAATATAATCATTAGTGAAACAACTATTTAGAAATAGTTGATTGGTATGTATTTGAAGGCAAAATAAATTTGGTTTTATGTATATTTAAATTTCAAATTTGAAATTAGTAATTAACGAAACGATTTAATAAATTAAATTGTTTATAATTATTAAAATAAATTACAAATATTTGATATAAATTCACGAATTCTTGTACAGAATCACAAACAGTTGACAACAAGTGATTGGAAAAAACAGATTATACGAGAAAAATGTTAAAAATAGATGCTTTCTTCAAACGTTTATTTCTGTACTAAAGTTACAACTGTATAACAAATGAGAAAAGAGCCAAACCATGGCTTAAGAATAAGGTCTTAACTAAACACATGAGCGAACAATTATTTTCATTTTAAACCTAATGATAATGGCCTTACATCTTGCAATTATAGCAAATATTCATTTAATTTTAATTTAATAATTATCAAAATTAATAAATAATAATTTTTAAATAATTTATATTAAAATATCAATTATTATAATATTGGTTTCTAAATTTATAGTTTTTAGATCATTAAATATAAACAGATTTTATATAAATATAAAAATGAGTATAAAAATTATTGATAATTTATTTTGCTTAAAACTGTCTTAAAATGTTCACAATTTATTGCGGATAATATTCAAAAATAATTTCTTAAATAATAAATTTAAAGACTTAATTGAATGTCAATTATTGTAGAAAAATGTGCACTTATTTTGCAAATGAGTTAGAAATAGAAGTTTACAAGAAAATGGTGTGTTAAAAATAGATGCTTTCTTCAAACGTTTATTTCTGTACTAAAGTTACAACTGTATAACAAATGAGAAAAGAGCCAAACCATGGCTTAAGAATAAGGTCTTAACTAAACACATGAGCGAACAATTATTCTCATTTTAAACCTAATGATAATGGCCTTACATCTTGAAATTATAGCAAACATTCATTTAATTTAAATTTAATAATTATCAAAATTAATAAATTATAATTTTTACATAATTTATATCAAACTATCAATTATTATAATTTGGTTTCTAAATTTATAGTTTTTAGATCATTAAATATAAAGAGATTTTATATAAATATGATTAAATCGGTATAAAAAATATTGATATTTTATTTTGCTTAAAACTGTCTTAAAATTTATTTTTAAAATGTCCACAACTTATTGCAGATAATATTCAAAAATAATTTCTTAAATAATAAATTTAAAGACTTAATTGAATGTCAATTATTGTAGAAAAATGTGCACTTATTTTGCAAATGAGTTAGAAATAGAAGTTTACAAGAAAATGGTGTG